AGAGTGGTTAGGACCGGAGGGCACAGCCCTTAGAAGAGATTCATGCTGGTCCTGAAGAATTAAGTTAGCTCTCATGAGAGTTATTATGAAAATAGTAAACCTGGCCCTGGTTGCCTGTGACTTCCCATCCCATCAGGTAAGGTCTCTCTGTCCACACCCTTCCAACATGATGTCACCTACCATCAGGTTCTCGCTAGAGGTCAAATACATAAAGCTGCTAATCTTGGACTTTGCTTTCCAAAACTATGATCTAAAGAAAACGCTTCTCTCTACTATTTGCCTCACCTATTTTGTTATAGCTACAGAAAACAAACTAACGGGAACTAGTTGACCAACTCAGGAAGCATGGTCAGAGCTTTGTTTTGATAATTTGCTATAGTGTCGTGATAAGGATTCAAAACACTTGTCACATCTTGCCTGCCCTCCTCTAAAAGCATGTCAAATCTGTGTATCACAACCTCCTTTTAAGTGACTCCTACTTCTCCGTTTCCTTCCACTTTACCAGGTCCCGTCCCACCCAATCCTGCAATGGCTGCTGTCCTGCTGCCATTTCCTTCCACAGCGGCTTCAGTACAGAGCCTCACTGGTGTCATTAAGAGAACACCAAAGTCCAATTGCCTGAAAATTCCCCATTGGAAATGTGACTCCTAGTTGTAGAGAGAAAGGACTAGGCTGACTTCATGTGTACCTTATACTGTTGACTATGGTCAGCATGTAGTCAGATACTCTGAGAAATAATGTCAACTTGGAACACTTTTTGCCCAAAGCCTTGACTGAGGCTGGAATCTGTTCTCTGTGAACTGTTTATTCAGGGACAGAAGATCTCAGATGTGGCTTCAGGTTGGCTTGGAAGTAGTGCCTTTGCCCAGGTTTGCAGCTGAAAAGCACAAAATCTGAGGACCTTAACCTCCCTGCCCCCAAATCTGTCCATTAGTGGTGGTAGCTTTACCCGGCTTCCAAGACCAAAGCCATTCTCCAGGACAGCTGGGCTCCCTGACCACTAGACCACACAGTCCGTGTTTTTAACATGTGCTCAGCAAACCTCAAGTTCCAGACCTGAAGAAACAGATTTTCCAAAAACAGAGTTCTCTTTGTGAACAATTCAGCAAAAATTCTCTTTCCAGCTGTGAGTTTGGATTCATGTTGCAAACGCTGGTGTTAATTAAAAACATCCACCTCTTCTACAGTTTCAACAAGAAAGAGCAGCATGGAGAATATGGCCCTACACATTCCCCTCTCCAAACTCTTGGACGTACATATTCTACTCATACCATAGGTTGGAGGGGTTTTAAGAGACATTATAGTTCTTGATTCCCAGCCCCAGTAGAAGTGTTAGGGCCGAAGAGATGGATATGATAAGTCCATATTGCCAAAGAGCACAGCTATAATCAGAAGGAACCAAAACACTTTTTGTCTGTCTATATAAAATATGAGGAACTGTATCTAGCTAGACTCCAATGGCTACCTATTGAATCATTCAATTTTTTTCTTTACACGGTTCTTAGTCCTTCAGAAATGAACAAATGAGGTTTGACAAAGCACGGCGCATCCACAAAAAGAGGAAATAAAGGTAATCATTGGGACACTAAGACCATGCCCCCATATCTCTAACCTTTCATTAGTCAATCTTTATCTAAAATGATCCCAAGTTGCCGGATCTGGGGAACTCAACTGTATTTCTTCTCTGCTTTTCTCTGGTTGATTACTGTCTCCTAATTTTCCCATGATGTAGACAGGAAAGAATCAAGCCAGAGCCACCTCGTTATGAATGAATTTCTTTGTTTCTTTAATTTCACACAGTTTAAAATACAATATGAAATCAGGCTACAGTATATAAAAAACTTTCCAGCAAAATGATGTGCCAGCATCAGCTACTAAAAGAAACAAACAAAAAACTCCCCCATAAGAATTTTATTTGCATTTGTTTAAAAAAAAACATATAAGACATTCACACCGCTACATCTCTAAGCTACCTCAGTTCTGATTGTTAAAAAGCACCTGCTTTTCCTTTTTTTAAATCTTGCTTTTAAATTTCAGCATTTAAAAAATATAAATTATATGAAAATACAAGTTGGAAAATAGTCAAACACAATATAACATCTTTTTACCCCAATAATTCTCAGCTTTAAAAAAAAAAGTATTCTTAAAAAAATTCAATAACTGAGGCAGTATTCCTGATAGAGATAATTTCATTTTATCATATATACTTCATATATGTATTTGTATACATATATTTGTGGTTCCTTGAAACGTCTTTGGAATGTTCATTAAGAGTTCAACAAATTTATATAGACCCCAACAGAGGAAGCAGCATGCACAGCATGACTGGAAGAGAGAGGTGTGATTTCACCGCGAAGGTTAATGCTTTACAACCCAGAGTGCTGGTCTCCAAAGTGAGGAAGAGCGCCTCTGATCTAGAAATGCTTCCACCAATCTCCATGGCCACAAAACCAGAGCTCCACGAAGAGAGCCCCCTTCTCCTGGACTCTGAGGCAAAAGCCACACATAGGTTAAAGCACGTCTCCGGGAAAACAAGAGCTTCGCCCGGCTCGATCAGATTTGTTCCCCCTCCCTCTGAAGTGAACGTGTTTTTAAAGAGCATCAATGCAACAAGGCTGCTCCATTTCCAGTGTATATAAACCACCCACCACTCTTCCTGGGATGGTCTCTGGCCTCTGGACAGAAGGAGAAAAAGCATCGGGCCAGATGGACAACAAAGCTGTCTGACTAATATACTATCTACAGATCCTGAAATTGGTGGACTTAGGGAGAAAGGGCATCATGGCAAGTCAGCGAGCTGAGAGCGTAAGGGGGCACTTTCTCCACTCATCCACCATAGGGACTGCAGGCATTAGACTCACAGAAGGGGAGTTCTCAGCATGAAGTGAATAGGGAAAGAGGATCACTTGGGAAAGGGGTTGTTTAAAGCCCTGTGGCAAACAGCAAGCAATGATATTGGCCCTGGCTGTACTCTTTCATCATTAGAGAAACATAGACAGACTTAAGTAGAAAATTCAGTATTATTTCAGTTGCAGTTTTACACAAGTGCATACACACACACACACACACACACACACACACACACCACACACACACACACACGCACACTGCCAGTGCCCAACAAAGATCACATAAGATAAAACAACGTAATCCAAATGATCCCACCTAATACTCCCTGAGCAGCTCTTACATATTTTGAGAGCTTCATTAAGGCACCTGCATCTGTAAGATTAAAATATCTAGCTGGGATGTTTTGCCTTCACCTCTTTGTGTGGATGCTGCAATCAATCAGTACAGAATACCCACGGACAAGAGTCATGCTCTTAGTAATTCAGGGTCTGTGAGAGAATCTGGGAGTCATCAAATCTCATGAAGATGATACAAGGTAGTTACAACTTTCATTTTCTTAGCGAAATCCCCAAAAGCAATGAGATGGAGAAGGATGGAGATGGCCATCTCAGTTGCCTTCTTTTCTGCCATGGACATCTATCATTGTCTTAACCAGGCAAGTATCCAGCGGAAGGGATCCTAATGTTACCAGGCATATTTTCTTGTTTTGTTTTACTCCCCAATACCTTCTTTCCAGGTCTCCCCTCCCAACTGGCAGGAAGATGACTGCCTCAATCACCTCTTTGTATTTAAGCTTTGAGGGAACCACAAGCGTATCTAAATATCATGAAGCACCTTATTCTCCTCACCAAGCTCCTTCCCTTGCATTTTCACCTTAAGTCATTCTTCTAATCTGCAGCTGACCTTCACTTGCCTTCTGCCAAGGTAACAGGTCAAGCTCCGGGTTCCAGAACTCTCTACCACTTCCTCTGCGTGTAGCCTTACCTGAAGTCCTACCTGACAAGCTCCTATTCTTCAAAGGAAAGCCTCTTCCCAAAGGAGGCCAAGTTACATGCTTCTGAAACACGCTCTGGATTTCCATGACCTCTGGGCCTAGCAAGTCTGTACTCTTTGATTCATGCCGTGATATCTGAAATCACACTTACTCGCCTATCAGAAAGCATTACATTCCACTCTACTGAACAAGAGGTTGGGGCGGGAGAGGGCTACAATGTAGGGTGCTAGGAAAACAAGACATAGAGGAGAAATTATAGAGTGTTCATTTGGAATGGCCCACTTAAGCCCTGAGGGGTAATGCCCAGGCAAACAGCTTTTATTCTCAGTCATCTATGCTTCAGGTAGAGAGCTAATCCAAAACCAGGTTACTCTTCCTCCTTCGATTTCCTTTCCAAGACCTTTAACAGTGTTCCTATGTTGACAACGGTCCCAAATCAGAGCTGCAAAATACATTCAGTGCAAAGACTTAATGCCCCTTACCTAACTCTAAGCCCAAAGCCTGACAAGTCCTTTCAGTGACAAGTAAAGGGACGTGAAGATGTGACATAAACTGCAGGTAGAATTCACATGCTCCCGAATCGGCATTCATTTCCCTTAGCTGTAAGTCAGGTGAGTTTGGGGTCTCCGAGCTCAGCGCAGAGCTTTGACTTGTCCAATGGGGTCTATATAAACTGTTGCCTTTCACTGTGACAGAATCCTCAGCCAGCAAATCAGAACAAACTCACAATACTGCAATACTGAGACCACCTTAGAGCTTAAGACAATTTTTTTTTTAAGAAAAAAAAAATACTGGCACAAAATTTAATAAAATAAACTTTAACACGAAAAAAAAAAAACAAAAACAGTTTCGGACCCCCTCCACTGAAGTTCATCTTTGTTTCAAAAAGTAGAAAGGTTAATAATTCTTGTTTTTAGTAATCCCCTGAAGAAAATGTTTTTATCCCACCCTCCAATTTGATTGGTTTTCATCAATCCCATTACTCTTGATGTGACCATGTCCTCCTGCTCTTAGATCCATAAGTCAAGGTGGACTTTTTTTCCTTAGGCTTGTTTTAATGACTGGACACGTTAGTTTCTTCCTCCTGCAAGCCAGGTCCATCACACTTCTGAGAAGACCTTTTCCTCTCTCCTGGAAAGTCTGCTCAGGAGCTTCTTGACCCACCCACCCCAGAGGTCTTCACTTCCTCTCTCCAGCCTCACCCATGGCCAATGGAATACAGCTGCAGCTCCCTTAGCTCCCACCCCTGAATGTGAAAAATGAGTTCTGGAAAATAAAACATAGAATAACAACGAAAAATTAAGAGTCCAGCCAACGCAGTTGTTTTTTTTTTTAAAGGTCTCAGCAGGGTGCCCCCAGTCCCTTCTGTGTCCATCACTCGTCAGCATCTGGCTTCACGTCCAGCATGGCGTGCAGCTCCTCAGGGGTGTATCCCAGCAGGCTCTGCAGGTCACAGACGAAGCGATACACATAGCGCTTACCCGCCGTCTTGTGGATGATATTTTTGTCATAATAGTAGCGAAGGCCACGGCTCAGTTTCTCATAGTTCATCTTGGGTTTGTTTTTCCTCTTTCCCCATCTCCTGGCCACCTGAATAAAATGGAATTAAATGGAAGTAGCTCAAAGTATGTAAGGCAATCCCAGAATACAGTGAATATTCCTCTACACCTCTATCATGGTTCAGGATGGCCAAATAAAATGCTCAGAAATTTGTGTGTGTCCGGAGCTCTGAGTGAGTCCCTCTGAACCCCACTTGCCTTCTTAAAAATATTTTGCATTGTTCACAGTAACTGTATGTGGGACTGTACACTAAGGGGCCATGGAAATTCAGAATATTTCAGCAAAATATGAATAGTGCAAAGCCACATTTTGATACAGCTATGCATTGTGCAATGATCAGATCAGGTTAAACGGCGTGTCTTTAAACCTCAGCTACTTACTGTTACTTTCTGGGGACCATTCAGAAGAACCCCCATTAGCTACTCTGAAATCGCGGATGAATGTTCTGCAGCCACCCTTCAATACTGCAGTAGCTCTAAGTTACCTCTTCCTGTAACAGCATCCTTGGCTTCAGTAGCCACTGTCCCTCCATCCGCTTCCCTTCCCCCTGCTCATGCTCTGATAATCACTATTTTATTCGTTACTTCTATGGGACCCCGCAATTCAGCTTCTAAATATAAGGAAGACTATGTGCTGTCTCTCTAAGCCAGCATATTCCACTTAATAGAATGTTGTCCCCATTCCATACACATTACTGTCGTAGAATTTCTAAGTTCTAGTTTACAAGTGTTGGACTCAATTTAATTATTTAAACTCATGAAAATATGGTGGCTCTAAACTCCTATGGGATGGGGGTTAAAATACTTAATTTGGAAGGAAAAAGAACAGCCAAAGGACAGACATCCCTCTGCCCACATTATAAGCACGTGTCGTTAACTTGAAAGCACAAAACTGGACAGGAAGCTGTGGAGGAAAGGCCAGAGTTGCCACCCCTGCATCCACCAGCAAAAAGCATCCTTTCTGTGCCTGGGTACAGATTTCTTATATGTGCTAGAAAAAGATCTCCTCTCTCAGAGTCACTAATTTTTTGGCACTGGAATGGAGTGAGGCACAGATCGACCATTTGCTAAGCACTCTGGGACAAAGGATGCAAAGTGCATCCATCTCGCAAGGCCACTCACATCCCCAGAGCCAGCAACCAGGAGGGGAGTGCGGCACAGAAGGTGCCTCTTCTGACAAAGGGCCAACAGGACACCAGACATTTACATGCATATCAGTTTGTCCCAGAAAGCAAATGGACAGTGGGCACACTTTGTTCTGTCAACGATGGAACTGAAGCTTGTGCAGGCCGCATCATTCCTTCGAGGGCACACAGGCAGCGAGAAGCAGCAGTGCTGGGTTTACAATGCAGGCCCAGAGGATCACAAAAAAGCCCAGGGTTTTCTCTCCCCCTTCCTCAGTCCGGGATTCCCAGTTACTCATTCCTTACCTCATCTGGGTCAGAAAGCTTGAATTCCCAGCCGTCTCCTGTCCAGCTGATGAAAGACTGACAAGACTTATCAGTGAGTAATTCCAGAAGGAACTGCCACAGCTGGATAGGCCCGCTGCCTGGAAGCACAAGGCACGAGGAATCATTACCAACACCCTCAAAGCCTACAGCCACAGCCCCTGCCCCCATGCAGCAGCCCCAGATCTCTCCCCTCAGCCTGTCTAGACAGGAGAAAACTGAGGCAAGGCTCAGCACAAACACTGGACCAAGTATTCTGGGCTCAGAAAAAGTGGAGATCCTCCTTCGAAAAGAAACAAGGGCCGGGCGGTGGTGGCGCACGCCTTTAATCCCAGCACTCGGGAGGCAGAGGCAGGCGGATCTGTGTGAGTTCGAGACCAGCCTGGTCTACAAGAGCTAGTTCCAGAACAGGCTCCAAAACCACAGAAAAACCCTGTCTCGAAAAACCAAAAAAAAAAAAAAAAAAAAAAAAAAAAGAAACAAGGAAAATTATGTAAGATAATCTATCACTTGCCTTTTTAAAATTAATTTCAGGGTCTTTCCATTGCTATGCAAACTCTGGGAAGAAAATATAGTCTGTCTTCAAAGATTTTCTAAGGAGGTATAATCTTTACTGCCTGTTTGTTTATTTGGCTTCATAGAGGTACTCACTATGTACCCCTGGCTGGCCTGTAACTTGTTATGTAGACCAGACTGACCTCTGCCTCCTTGGTGCTATTACTAAAGGTGTGCACCACCCCGTCTGGCAGGGAGTATTTTATGTGCCTTTAAACACTAAGGCGTTACATTTGACTTAGAAGAAAGAAAAGTCTTTGCCAGGGCCAGGCAGAAGTCAAAGCTCAGAGGCATTTTTCCAGAGGAGGGGCTTCTGGCCCTGCCCTGTGACGAAGAAGGATCGGTCTCTATGTTTATTTTGCATCCTCTCACAAGGAACAGGCACTTGGTATGCTTCAGTCCTGATGGTTTTCTCTGCCATTGCTCCACCCCTGCTACTTCCGGGCCAGGACTAAGAAAGGAATGCATTGCCACCACGTGAGGAATTAGCTTGCCACCCGGGGGATCCTCAGAGGTCAGATGAGGACGGCCCTGTATTGTTTACAGGGTTTCTCTTCATAGGTTCAGCTCTTATTGTACCCCTTCCCCCATCTAACTCTAGAAGGCCTAGTGTACCCTAACAGTCAAAAATCTCTTATAGAAAAATTTAGGTTATTTTTCTATTATGAAATGAGAAGAAGCTAATCCTAACTAATGTATCGGTATGGCTAGATAGAAAATTATAGGTTTAACTGTCAATACCTAAAATATCTATACTGCACTTTATGACATTAATATTCTAATACCCAAACTTAAATTTTCTGAATGTGTCTACTCCAAAATAAACTCAAAATCATCAGGAAACAGACTTTAGAATTGTCTCCATCAAAAAAGGAAAGTCCTTTATGCCCTAGGAGGCTCACTTCTTCTATCTTATACTCCTTCAAGGTATGCTCAGAGATAGCTGCCCCACATTGGCCGAGAGTGGGGCTCAGGCAGCCCTTTTGTTTCTAAGCTACTGGTACTCAGGAGACTGACGTGACTTTGCTCCAAAGTCAGATTCAATACCAGGACAGCCTTTCTCAACAGCACAGAAGAAAGCGGGTAGGGCCAGACCCCAACAGATGTAACGGAAGGAGCTCAATTTCTCTCCTTAGCACACACAAGCTGCATGTGCTAAATGAACCAGCTCTTCCTCACCACACTGAGAACATAGCTTCGGCCATCTTGCAAGATACATGGCTAGGAATGAAAGCATTCAGCATTGCCTTCCAAGTAAATGAATTATCTAAAGAAACAAGCCAGAGTGCTGTAAACCTTCACTCACTCCACATCTACCTGCTGGTAAAAATCCACATAGTATACAACTCAGATACATGCTCAGATTCCTTGGGAGTCGAGCTAAGTCAGCAGCCACTGGAAGATAAACATGGCGAATGAGAGACCCACTGAGAAGCCCTTCTCAGTGGCCTAGGAGCTAAGAAAGCAAACTGCTCTTGTGAAATGGACTATAATAGTCCTGATGTCAATTCTAAGTTCCCTGGTGATGCTCAGTCATCTTACACAACCACTAGCATCCCCAAGAGACGGATACAGAAAAGCTGACATCAGAGTTCTTTGATTACTGGGCATCACCACTACAGACCTCAGATACAAGAAAACGCCTAAAAAAACGCTAAGGGGAGCCACGCAGTTCACTGCAGCTTGCACAACACGACACGGCTATGCTTTACCGTCTGCTTTTGAATACTCGGTGGCTCTAGCCACTGCCATTAGTCTGCTGGTTTCTATTACTTTTCAGCAGAAAGAAAACCGAATGTACAGGATGGGTATCTAGCTTGCAGATGAGAAATAGAAGGCCTAGGTCAAGACCTCAGATTCTTCAATACGTTGTCCAAACCAAAAGCCATGGACCTAACTAAACTGACTGTCCTGTTGCAGTGACCCAAGCGCTAAATGGATCTGGCTTCCAGGAGCCACCTTCCTGGCCTCTCACCGCAGTCACAGAACTCTTGAGACACCCCACCTACGAACTTGTGTACACACCCCAATAAGAGATGTTGCCAGCCCTTTCAGGGCCCTGCAGGGGCTAAGTTATACAGTAGTAGAATCTCTCTCACAGTATCTTAAAAAATCTCTCAGAGAGAAGCTGGATATCAAGCTGAGCAGAGGGATGGAGAGATGGAAAGACCTAGGCAGATCCTAGTCATTGACAGGGCCTAGCAAGCATCTGCAGGTCCTAGAGAGGAAGGCTCGGGAGTACAGCAAAGTCCCTCCCCTTGAGGCCAGAACAGAAAAGGGGACTTCAGATCATATAATCAGTACCAGCCCAGGGAACAGAAGCAGCTATTTTCCTGCAGTTTTACCTAAATTTCAACGCCAAAGTGCTCCCTAATACAGCTTATGTGCATCTGCCCACTGATGGCTGAATATGGCTGGGGACATGGGAATCCTGGCTGGAGAAGATTTTTTTTCTCACCGTGAGTTTTCCTATGTTCAGAGGGAACACAAAAATGTGAATTCTGGGCACTGGTAACCCGAGTCCTAGGATCGCCTTCTCTTGAGGTCTTTTATTCCATATCCACCAAAAAGAAGGGATGCACACAGGTGCCTAAGGAGAGGGAGGCACTTGGATGGAAAGAAATGTCTCTGGTTCCATAACAAGACGGCTGAGAGAGCTGCGATGTCAGCTCAAGCCTCATTCCTGGGATTCTTGCAGAAAACCCAGGTTAGATGATGCATGCCTTCTGATAGCCCACAGGTATTTAGGTGTGCTAGCACACACCTGTATGTGAGCTGGCACTCAGGAGGCAGAATCAGGACAAGTGAGAGTTCAAGGCTACCCTGGTCTAGTAGTAAGGCTCCTCCCCTACCCATTCAAAAGAGGGGGATAAGAACTTACACTGTTGTACCTAATGAGACAATTCTTAAAACTACACTTCCCCTCTGGTGCCATTTCACTGACTTCTACACATCTCCCCTCTGCTGGAGAGAGCAACAGAACGAGGAAGGTCACAGAGCCGTGGCTTCACGGTTTTCTCATCTCTCAATGGTGCCACAAGGACCTCGTTTCTACAGCAATGCATCAGCCTAACTCACTTCACTTCTGGAGGGGAAACTGGGTTCACAAGGAGGCGCAAACATAAAGGCAGTTCTGGGGTTACAATGCTTACTGGCTCTGCATATCTGCCAGCCGCATTGCAACCAAGTCCACGCCCCAGACTCATGAATGAGACTTGCAGTCCCTGCTACAGGTCTCCTGTGGACATTTCTGGGCTGCTTAGCATAGACCTGTTCACACCTTCAGCTTCCAGACTCCATCCTTTGCCCTTGCTCCAGCATGCTCTGAAATTTGAAAGTCTCCTCGATTTTCCCTTCACCGTCTCCTCCTGATCCCAGCTCCAACCACCTCCCCAAATGGATGGTAGCCCCAGCGAACCTCTGTCCCCCAGAGCAGAAACGGGTACTAAGAATAGTGCCAGTCATGGGAAAGGGAGCTCACATGTTAAATGTGACTCACAATGGCAGGCCTGTCTGGGGCCCCAAGGCAGTCAACGGCACCCTTCACCATGCTGCCCTGCGGTGTCACACATCAGGAATCCAGTGGCATCACTGGGAAAGTATGTTGCTTCCGTGGAGCTCAGAGCCACAACAACAGAGGGGTCCCTGTTAGAAGGAGGTTCCAAGGCGGGGAATGAAGGAGTCCGGCACACACACAAACCCACAGCCCGGCTCCCATCATGCTCCCATCTCCTAGGTTGACTTCATACCCCCTGTTCTGCCCTCTTCCAGCCACCCAAGTTAGGGAATTTCCTCTAACTGCTTTTCCTTCTCAGTCTCAAGACGAGAGGAAAATTCTTATACAATGTTGGCAGCCCTGATTTGCAAAGCAAGATCCAGACTTGGAAGAAGCACATGGAGGGGCCTGGGCAAGTGGACAAAGAACACCAGGCATGCTGCCCTTCAGGGGACCCTAGAGAGGCCACAAATCAGAAGCAGCTTCACATAAATTGCTGTTCATTTGAGTCCTATTTGATTACCTTGTCATTGTCTAGGAATAGCAAGGCCTGCCACCTATGTCGAGGACTAGTTACTGATGTCACCTGCTCTTTGGTCATGGACTCTGAAGATAACAACAGAAGTAAGCTAGAAGTACACTTTATTAATGTATGTGCCTGTGCACATGCGCACACATGTGTCTGGGCTTGTTTGGTTCAGATTTGCTGTTTGTTTTCAGCTATTGCTGTTTATAGAATTGAGAACTAAGCTTAGGCCCCTGCACATGCTAGGCAAGTTTGCTAAGACTGAGCCATGGCCTCAACTATGCACTTACTTATCTACTTATGTATGTGTGTGTGTCCTTTGAAAAAGGCTCTCACTAAAGTTGTCCTAAAACTTACAATCTCCCTGCCCCATCCTCTGAGAAGCTGAGTGTCATTGTCATTCCTTTTGTTCTCTAGGTCTGCAAACTACCTGCCCACGGCAGGGACCTCAAAGCTGGCAAAGGAGAGGAGGACTGGACTTCAGCTTCTTCTACCCTTTCCTCATTCCCCCTTCAACCATAGTT